GGCAATTTCCGAGTGGGTTCAACCCTGTCTGACCATTACAATCAGGATCAGGGTGTCCCACAAGGCCGTATTTTGTCTACCACTATATTTAACATTAAGATCAACAGTTTATCGGAGGTTTTAAACGATTCAGTCGATGGATCACTTTTTGTGGATGATTTTAATTTTTCTTGTCGCGGTAAGAATGTGCATACTATTGAACGGCAACTGCTGTTGTGTTTAAACAAAATAAATAAATGGTGTTTTGAAAACGGCTTTAAATTTGCAAAGTACAAAACTCATTGTCTTCACTTTTTTAGAAAATATAAGCCTCATAAGGACCCAGATGGTACGTAAGTCCCAAAGCATTCAATGTAAATTTAAATCTACTAATAGCTGAAGGGATGGTGTAAATCCAGCTAGGGTCCATGCACTGTAAGTCCCATGGTCCCTGGCATGGTGATCTACCTTCATTTGTTGGCAATCTATAGCCCGTTTTTATATTGTATTGTCATATATAGTTAAACGGTTTTAGATTTATTTACTAGTTTTAAATTCGTCTCTGTGATAGTCTAGTTATTTTACTGTCTTTCGCAGACAGCTTTTTATAATTTACTATTACTTACTATGTATACCAATTAACGATAGGGCTGTAATATTGCCGATGTGACGATAAATTTTAGCTCACTCACTCATTTGTTGGCGATCTATAGCCTGTTTTTATATTACGTATTGTCCAAATAATGCTATTAGTTTAAATGCTAGTTTTAAATTCGAAGTGTGATAGTTAAGTTGTTTTACTGTCCTTTGACGACAGGTTTTATAATACATACATATCATTTATAACTGTCCAATTTATTCTCTTCACGATATGGCTGAAAAATTGCCGATGTGACGTTAAATATTAACTCAATCACTCCCTCCAGTGTGTAGAGTTTGGAGGGTTTTGTTTTGTTTTTCATGTGAATAACACTGATTTGCTATTTCATGTGTTTGTAATATGTTGGTCAGAATAGGCTACAAATCGTCAACACTTGATCAGTAAACCATAGTGGTTCCAACACACATGCTTATGATGTGGTCATATTCTTAAGTGGCCTCCAAGTTGGACAGAAACTCTCATACAGTACCCATTTTACACTAAACTATACCTCAGTACACTCTTCACATGAAGCTCTCCTTCAGTACCCATTTTGCACTAAACTTCTCCTCAATTCATCAATGAAAATCTCCTTCAGTACCCATTCTACATTAAACCTGTCCTCAGTACACACTTCACATGAAGCTCTCCTTCAGTACCCAGTTTACACTAAACCTGTCCTCAGTACCCACCTCACATGAAACTCTCCTTCAGTTCCCATTTTACACTAAACTATTCCTCAGTACCCATCTGACATGAGAAGCAGTATGTACTTTCGACGTTTTGATAAAACATATCTCTTACTCCATGACTTTCGCAAGTCATTTTCATAGTCCACACCTTCGTCTATCAATTCACAGACATATTTTACCTTCGTGTAAAATAGTTTAATTTCATTGGTCAATGACATTTTAACAAGTTTCCGTGTCAGGAGGGTGACAACTAGAAGAAATATTACCCGCTGCCACGGTAGCCACCACTCTTTTAGTACCCACTTTACTCAACAAAACGACTAGATTTAATACCACTTTTTTAGACTTTGAATTAAAAAAAACAAGATATCATCGGAGACGAACGCGGGCCGGCCCATGGGCGAGCGAGTTTAAATTTTGAGTTTTCGAAAAATTATTTTTCATTTTTTCATCCTTAGGATATATTCATAACAAATGCATGTTTAATTTTGTCGAATCCCTTGTCAGAAGGTGCCCACAGTGAGGAGAGTTTCTGGACTTTTGTGAGATAGTGCAGGGGCTTGTGTAATTTCGTAGAAATTTCATGTTAATTTTTGGTATGGATTCAGGAAAAACATGGATCCATCTTGTCTGTTTGCTATAAGTGTCATTGTGGGATGATTGAAAATGAGTTCCCAAAATTTCTTGCGACACCATTTCGCGAAAAACATGTTTACACAAACCTATCACAACATAGATCCTTTTGTTCATTCCATTTCGACTAATGACCATCCAAGACCAGGAAGACTGTGCGTCATCACACTAGCCCAAGATCACTTCATCCGGGTAACCCATCTACGTGACTAACATCATTCCGCCCGGGACACAGCACAAGAACGGTTTGGAGCCAGGAGAATGTCCGACCAGGAAATCAGGAACCGTCTCCGAGAGCTAGGTATGCGTGCCAGACGCCCAAAAAGTTGCCCCCTGTCTGACACGATTACATCAACGTCCGCGAGTCAGGTGGTGTAACGCGGTGCAGCCATGGAACCTTGGAAACTGGAGGCACATACGGTTCAGTGATGAATCGCGGTATCCCCTCAAGCAACGTGATGAAAGACAACGTGTCAACAGACCACGCAATGAACATTTTGCATCCAACTGGATCAGGCAAGTGGGCAGATTTCGTTGAGATGGTGTGATGATGTGGGGAGCCATCTCATACACCTGCAGATCGGAATTGGTGCTCGTTCAAGGCAATCTTACGGCCGGTCGATACAACGACCAGGTTCTCTGTCCTCACGTGCATCGCCTTGTCGACCGCCTAAGGGAACTGTACCAGCAGGATAACGCCAGACCTCACACAGCACGTGCTACAGTGGACTACCTGGACGATAAAACATTTATCAGCCCCCTCACCCCCGGCCCTCCAGATCTGAAACCTGTGGGATCAGATAGATAAACGTGTACGTCAACGTCGTCATCCGCCATTGTTGCTTTAACAGTAACTATTGTTCAACATGCTGCAGGTAGAATGGAGAAGGATTCCACAACGAAACATCCAGCAACTGATTCAGTCTGTGTCAAGAAGATGTCGTTCAGTTCTAGCAGTAAGAGGTGGTCATACAAGGTAGTAACGTCAACTTCACCTCGTGGACAGCAGTAATAGCTATGATGACAATCACTCTTGTAAAATGCGCACGAGATACCAATGTATTGCTCTACATAATTTCAATGCCGTACCGTTTATTTTCGTTGATTTACATCATTGAATAAGACCAAATTTTTCAATGATATTTTGCTTATGCGTTTCTTTTTTTGAAGAGTGTACTTTCTTCACCATCTAATTGTTTTGTCCTAGGGACGTACCCAATAGATCCAGAAAGATTCATTGAAATCCATCTAGTGGGTTTTGAGTAAAGATACTAACACATAAATACACTTACACAAACAGGGTTGAATGCATACCCTCTGCAACAAACCTTCGGTTTTGGCAGAAGCAATTATCATCATATTGATTATTATGCATACATATATTATTGAGATTCATGATATATAATGGTAGTTGTAAAACACACATCGCAAGGTACATTTTGATATACCACATGCCTATGTTGTAATTGTTTCATAAAAACATGTTTTTCTCACATTGGTGTAGCTCGATTAAGGGTACCGATGTCCAGTTACCCTAGAATGACACTTATAATCTTCAGAAAAAATGGAACCATGGTTTTCTGAATCTATACGCAATACTGATTACAATTATCAGTGGTTCCAACAATTAACATGTACTTCCCACGGAAAGCATTTTTGCTACATAAGCCCCTGAACTAAGAACGTAAACTTAAGAATTATCAGGCGATATAAAGGCCAAACATAAACATATCGTGAAGCAGTATGTACTTTCGACGTTTGGATAAAATATATCTCTTACTTCATGACTTTCGAAAGCCATTTTCATAGCCCACACCTTCGTCCATCAATTCACAGACTTGTCTTACCTTCGTGTAAAATACTTTAATTTCATTGGTCAATGACGCTTTAACAAGTTTGCGTGTCACCCCTCCCAGGATGGTGACAACTGGAAAAAATATAACCCGTTGCCACGGTAACCGCCAATCTATCAGCCGAGAAGATGTATCGCTAACAATCGTATGACTTCATAATATGACACATGCAGTGCATGGAGTTCGAAAATCGTTCGATTAGCTGTTTTTGAGTTCACTATGTACACATTTGTTCTACCGACTTTTACTGCCTTTTGAAAACTGTTTTAAACATTGCATCGTTTGCACATTCAACTTAAATATAATTAACCATTTTTACAGCAGTTTTACGCTTGTCAGAATATGTTTCTCTGACTTTAAAAATCCAGTCGAGAGGCAGACGCCATTTTGTTTACATGTCCTTTACCCTTCAAAGATTTGATTTAACATAGTTGGTTGCGAGCTTATCGATCTTAAATATAAAAAAGATTGTATTGTACATTTAACATGGCGGTAAGATAACTACGCTGTAAACTTCTCACTCGTGTAATACGGTCTTATGTACGCCTTTTTGTAGCAGTGTTATACCTTGCCTACCGACTCGGATGACACTGTTATGAAAAGGCGTACATCAGACCGTATTACCCGAGGGACAGGATACAGCTTATAGAATCCATGAGATCAAAGTGATTATTACTCGCCCGTGGAAGATTCTGCAGTGTAATATTTTACGGCAATATCACACTAAAGTAATACCGCTAGACGTATGACGACATAATAGTTTACGGTTATGACGTCACAATGCTAATACCTCTGTCACAATGGTATTAGACCTTGCTTGACTCGCGGAAAGCTGAGAGTCATCACACTGTAAGTAGTTTCTATCATTTTTTGTTGTAGAGTAAAAAACAGAATACTAAACTAGCTTCCGTGAAATACCATTGTTATGAAACTCGTGAAAGTTTTGTATCAAACTCGATTTCGCTCGTTTGATACCAAATCATTAACTAGTTTCATAAAAATGGTATTATACGAAAGGTCGTTTAGTATCTTCTATATATCAAATAATGGATTACAGTGTGTTACATCAACGGCCGTCTATGTTGTTAGTAATTTCTAGATTTATGCATATTGTATTTGTATCCCCTTGGAGCGTTTCCTCTTACCACGAACAGAGATATGTAACAATACACCAACATTTCACAAAAACAAGAACCATCTTACCTACACTGCTCTCTGTCGGGTTCGGCTGGGTTGTGATATCGAGGACAGAATGATCACCTGATGTAATAAACAACCTTACTGTGACAAGCAAAGGGGCCTGATCAAGGTTGTTATAAATCTATACAATCGTTTATGACAACATAAACGAGTGTGTTTCTGTGTTTAAGTGTGGTAGATTCGTACACAGATTGGTAGATTCGTTTCCACCGCCCCCTAACGATTACGACTCACTGGAACGTATGTGCTGAAAATTTCATCATGTTTTGAGTTATTACCATTTGCCGTCACCTCACGTGGGCCTCTCTGTTCACTGGAAACTCGGCTTCTACTTTGACATTCGCTCGAGTTAACACACTTTGTATAGGTTTAACACAGGGCACGGTGACATCACCTCCACCACCTCCCATCTACCCTGCAAGAAAATCGTTCCCACTATCAATGAAAGTTATTTACGAAGTGATTTCAAATATGAATATACAATGCCATTTAGAAAGTGGTCAAATGTATCTCATGTTACATTTGGGATTATACTTTCTCAGTAAAGTGAAGATTCTTTTGTTGGCTTGAGTCCATCTCGGGAATCCACGCCCTATGGTTAGGACACAATCCAACGAACGTACTAGAATATGAGACAGAGATAGATAATCTTTATTTCCTCCGAAGTCGAAGATACAGCAGGTTGTAACATAGGTTATATATATGTATTTACAGGTTACAGAGCGTGATAATCAAAATTAGAATAGCTATTTTAGTTGATGCAGCCTGGGTTTTACAGAGTTTGTGATTAGTTTTATACATTTAAACCACATTTCTTGTTCAAGCTCTTGAGCATATACATTTGGTAGACGGAGCATAAATGAGACAAATAGGTCTTCATTCCATAAACTGACAAAAGTGTCAACATCTAGCATGTCCACTAGTGACTCAAAGCATTTCTACTACTTTGTATGAGAGTACAGTGTAAAAATACATGTTTTGCAATATCATATGCAACTATGCCACATTCACACTCAAAAGATTGAATGCTAAGTGTGTTGATACGTAGAAGAGTAGCAATATTATTGAAACATTCTGGCATATTATAACATGTAGACCACAGTCTGTGAACATTTCAGGATATCTTATAGTATGCTATTTTCAAGGTTAAGGCTCAACCTCGTTACAGGAGCAACATATGACTCCTCAGCTTTAAGTATTCTTTTTTATTCACTTTACTTGGTTACAGTTGAACCAAATATATAGGTGGAGTAAAATGTTAAAAATTGCATAATAAAAAGCAAACAGTAAAATGCAGTTCATATTGGGAATATCAAGATAAAACAATCGAAATGCTACATAAGTAATACAGAGAATGTGATTTCTAATTTCTAATTACAGGACTGCATCTAGTGCATATCAGTTTCTGTAAAAATGTTTCATATTGTCGTTTTCAAATGACAAATTTCTCAATCTCATGAAAGTCCTTTAATAATGTTCTGTAGATTGTGAAGCTAGGTTTGTGTCCATTAATATTCACAACGAAAATGTGGCGCTTTGACTATAATATCATGTGGTTGAGTAAATAGTTACCACTGCAACAAAATAGAATACTAGTATCATGGTTTGACATTTCATATGTTACCAAGGACTTGAGTTACAAAATTGTTAAAATCTGCCCAGAACATTTTGATGATTGGACAATCAAGGTATACATGGTAAATATCCTCACTTACTGAACCACATAATGTAAATAGGGCATTATCTATCAGTTTCATTTTCAGTAGTTCTCGTTTAGTGTAAATGGTTCTGTGCAAAAACTAACATTTAAAATCTAAGAGTTTCGTGTCTTTAGTGGATTGTCTACATTGTGAAAATATGATTTTCCAATTTATCAAATCATTTAGTTCCCCGTTCCATTTCAGACACACATTCGGAATGTTATAATCAGATATGAAACTATCACAGAATATCCTATAGCCTTTACTAGGTTTAATCAAATATTTCCAAGGAGAACACGTGGACAACTTCGGTATATTCAAATTGTTTTTTGTTCCTGTAACTTCTTTCCACTGTTTGGGTATACTAAGGAGAACACGATTTAAATCAAGTACAGTACCCTTCATGCCAAATTTTCCTTTAAGTTCCGCAAATGTTAGAAAATCGTGGTCTTTACAAATATCTTTAATATAGACTATTCCACATGTATGAAATACACAATGCCATTTTAGAAAGTGGTCAAATGCAACATATGTCATATTTGGGATTACACTTTCTTAGTAAAGTACAGATTCTAGTACTTTTTGGGTTGAGTCCCATCCGGGATTCGAACCCGCACCCTCAGAGTCAGGCACCTAATCGCCAGCACACAAAGTCAGACGCCTAGACCGCTCAGCCACCGCTGCTTCCACAAAAATGGAAGTCGGACGACTGGTAGTCTAGACTGCGGACTCTGTGTACCCCTCTGATAAGTGTTGAAGTACTAGAATCTGTACTTTACTAAGAAAGTGTAATCCCAAATATGACATATGTTGCATTTGACCACTTTCTAAAATGGCATTGTGTATTTCATAGCTTTCGGCCGTGGGAGCCGTGCCAATCAACACTTATCAGAGGGGTACACAAAGTCCGCAGTCTAGACTACCAGTCGTCCGACTTCCATTGTTGTGGAAGCAGCGGTGGCTGAGCGGTCTAGGCGTCTGACTTTGTGTGCTGGCGATTACGTGCCTGACTCTGAGGGTGCGGGTTCGAATCCCGGATGGGACTCAACCCCAAAAGTACTAGAATCTGTACTTTACTAAGAAAGTGTAATCCCAAATATGACATATGTTGTATTCCACATGTAATTCAGTTATGAATGATCAAGCCTGGCTGGTTACACTGGTGAGTTATACATAGTGGTTGCATGAGTACTTCATTACTATCGTTATTGTTACACACATATTTTTAAACATATCTATACCAGGCATCAAGAGAGTATTTCCAAAATGGATTTTTAACTTTATAGTGTTTTGTAATGTTGGCTTCTAGGAGAAGAAGGTTTTGCAAAGGGAAACCGGCAAGATCAGGGTTCTTAGATTTTGAAATATATCTCTTCAAGCATGAAAGTTTTAAAGAGTCGATAAAGGTTTTACATCGACCATTCTTAGACCACCGTCTTCTTACATTCGCACTAAATTAATTCGTTTTATTTTGTCAATTTTATCATTACATATAAATTTGAAGAATAATCTGTTCAAATCAGTAATAAATGTTTTCGGGGGATTAGGGAGAGATGAGAAGATGTGGACAATCGTGGATAAAGCTAAACTTTTTACGACGGTTATTTTCCCTATCAACGTAAAATTACGTCTTTTCCAATTCTTTTGACTTTTCTTCTGTTGTTATCTCTGATAATTATTCCTAGTATTTCTGCAATAAGATTAATATGGAGAGATGGGATCACCCTGTCTACATCCCCTTTCGTTGTCGAAAAACGTTGACAAGTGAACATTCTGTATCATACACGAGGATGCATTAGAAATGAATATGTTAACCCATTTTTGAATGTTACTTCCAAAACCAAACTTATCTTGGACCATCTTAATGAATGTTTTGACACGGTGTCGAAAGCTTTTCAAAGTCAATTAAGATAAGTAAACCTTTTATGTTTTGCCTTTTAGTTTCAAACATAATATCATAGAGAAGTCTAGTATTTTCCGTAATGCATCTTCCTGGAATGAATTCCGTTTGATTTTCGTTTATGAGAACATTCAATGTTTTTTAAACCCTGTTTGTGATACAAGTACTTATAACTTTATATAATGCGTTTAGGGGGGATATAGGTCGCCAATTCTTCAGAAATCTTCTATCTTTACCTGGTTTAGGGATACGTGTAATTACTTCTCTATTCATTGTCATAGTCATATAGAATTCTTGTTGAATGTTTCTTTTATATATCGGTGAATCCCAAATGTTCAGATTTTTCCAGAATACACTGGTATTCTTTCTTTAACTAGTACAGACCACTCAGCCTTCGTTAGGAAGGAAGATTGGTTTACATAGTTGTACAAATGCATATCTAGGTCATACATTGTTGAGCATGTGGAAGATTGGCGATGACTTGCTATATCGCTCTTTCTCCAGTGATGAAGTCTGTCTGTGCTGACAAAGTCTATGCACAAGCACTTTCTTAAATACAAATTCAGTATCGCTGTTACATAGTTTACCGCAACAAAGTGGGTGAAGGCCATGGTTCTTATTGGCATTAAGGAGTATCCTAAGCCTTTCACATACAAACTGCGTAAATTCTATAATTCTACTGGATGAACAGATTTGGAGGCCAGGAAATTTTACATGTGTATTAAAAGGTATTAAAGGGTATTTCAGTCTCACCAATGTATATTATAGGATGGACATTTCTTTTTTGTGTCTCCAAATACAAGAAATAAACTCTTTGCTGCAGTAAAACACAAGTGCCATGTGTGCGCATACTTATGTACAACATCAAGCACACTTTGAAGTCCACCTGGGCATGCACTTAACAAAGACAAGTCGTCGGCTAACAGCACCCCTGGTGTTTTACCCCATGGTAAACATATGCCATGCCCAGAGTCAACGATACTGTGAAGAAAGGCGTTTATATATAGAGTGAAGAACCAAGCTGATAAGACACGACCCTGACCTACCCACTGTTTTACATCAAATACATTAGAAATAGTGCCATCAGTGCTAACACATGATTTCATTGATGTGTACATAGTGTATATATGTCGCCACAGTTTACATCGAATCCCGAAATTGTAAAGCTTATAGAAAAGTCCATTCAACCAAACTCTGTCAAACGCTTTCTCATTATCAAGGAAGGCACAATAAACAGGTGAATTTGTTTCGACATAGTAGGCCATTCTTTAAGTTAGAGTAAGCGCCGCACACTTTCTAAATCCAAACTGGAGAGGGTGGGGAAATCTTATTCAGCTTTTGTTCATGTTTCAATTCTTTTGAGCAGTAATCTTTCAAAACGTTTTGACAGAACAGGTGTAAGAGTGATACCTCTATAATTACATGGATCATGCTTGCTTTTACCATTTCCTTTGTGAATTGGTAAAATATTACCAACACTAAATGCATTTAGTACATACTCAAACGATACAATGGCATTAAATAGTGATACAATATGGTCAATAACAGACCGACCAGCATACTTTACATGCTCGTTTGGAATATCATCTGGACCTGGAGAGTTGTTGTTTTTAAGACGTTTTACTCTATCAAGTACCTCATCTTTAGTAAATGGGGAGAGAATGACTGAATGACTGTCGTCATTTACAGGGTTATATACAACATCTTCTACAAACTTATCAACTTGCTCTGTAAATCCAGTATCAAAGCATTCTGGACCTGAGGTACAGACAAGTCTCTGAAGTACCTGGCAAAGAGATTACATACACCTTCCCGCGTGTTACAGGAGTCACTGTTATAGGTTAGAGACTGTGTTTGCTCCCTGTTACGTTTTAACTTTTTTGTAACTCTAAAGAACTCTTGGATGTCTACCTCAGCTGCTTGGTAAATTTCATCAAATGTTTCATTTCTGTAACGTTGCTTAGCTGAACGGTGGTTTCTTCGAAATGCACGTTTAGCTTGTTTATATTCAATAAAATATGTGTCATCTGAGCTGTGGCTTTTGCCATTAGAAATCCATTTTTTACTGTAATTACGCTTATGGTCATGACGTTCTTTAAGTTCATACTTCCTCCAGTATGGCTTTAATTGTGCTTGGAATTCTGAAGTAGGAATTGCAAGTATAGTTGCAGCATGTAGACATTCTGTGATATAACTATTGTGACACTCGATGTATTCATCAGGAGGTGAAAAACGGGAAATATCAAACTGTACATTTCTAAAGTAGCTACGTTGTAAACCTCTCCCTCGGGTAATACGGTCTAATGTACGCCTGGCATATTACGTCATAATAGTTTACAGTTATGATGTCTCAATGCTAATGTTGACTCGCGGAAAGCTCAGAGTCATCACACTGTAGGCAGTTTCTATCAATTTATGTTGGAGAGTAATAAACAGAACACTAAACCGCTTCCGTGAAATACTATTTTTATTTAACTCGTGAAAGATTTAGTATTAAACTCGCTTTCGCTCGTTTCATATATACTAATATATTAAAGATTGTATTGCGCGGATTCCAGCTATATGGCGGCGGTCTGTTAATAATCGAGTCTGGACCAGACAATCCAGTGATCAACATCATGAGCATCGATCTACCTATTCGGGAACCGATGACAACAAAGTCAGCGAGCCTGACCATCCGATCCCGTTAGTCGCCATTTACGACAAGCATGGGTTACTGAATATCAGCTCTAACCAAGATCTTCACGGGTTAGGTGCCTTAGTATCTCCTGTATATCGCATAATGGATTACAATGTGTTACGGCTGTCTATGTTGTTATCATTTCTAGAACTATGCATATTGTATGTGTATTCCACTTGGAGCATTTCATCTTATCACGAACACAGATATGTATGTAACAACACACCAATATGTTCAACAGAGCAAGAACCATCTTACCTACACTGCTCTCTGTCGGGTGCGTCTGGGTTGTGATATCGAGGACAGACTGATCACCTGATGTAATTTACATGCTTGTTGTGACAAGCAAAGGGGACTGATCAAGGTTGTTATAAATGTAAACAATCGTTTATGACAACATAAACGAGTGTGCTTCTGTGTTTAAGTGTGGTAGATTCGTAAACATTGTTTCGTACATCCCCTACTGATGACAACACACTTGGAAGTATGTGCTGAAGATTTCATCATGCTTTGATTTATTACCATCTGCCGCCACCTCACTTGGGCCTCTTAGTATACTGCAAATTTTAGAGCGGCTTCAACTTTGATTCGCCCTAGTTAACACACTTTGTATAGGTTTAACGCAGGGCACGGTGACATTACTTCAGTCACTGTCTCTACTGCTAGAAAACTCGTGCCCACAGTAAGTGAAATATTTTTCCGAACTGATTTCAAATATGAATATACAATGCCGTTTAGAACCTGGTCTAATGTTTCACATGTTAATACTTGGTAATATACTTTCTCAGTAAACTCTTCTTTTTTTTAAGTCCCACCCAGGAACCCACGCCCTATGGGTATGACACAATCCAACGAAAGTACTAGAATCTGTACTTTACTGAGAAAGTGTTGTTCCAAACATAACATGTGTTGGAGCCGTACAGAAAATCCGTGGTCTAGATTACCAGTTGTCATTTTTGTGGAAGCGGCATTGGCTGAGTGGGTTAGACGGTTGAATTTGTGCACTGGCGATTAGGTTCCTGAGTCACAGGACCTCGTGTCTTTGAGAGGATTGAAGATGAACACCGCTTCATAGTACAATGAATCATGACAAGGCCGGACGCTTCGGTGCACCCCACCCGCCTGCTTTGCCGAACGCTACGCTAACACCACATGCAATCGAATGTACACATATTCATGGATGATTGGACTATGGATCAGCACTCACGACAGCTACCAATCATTTATTGTCATTTCTACAAGTCGACTGAAAGACGATTCTGATGCTCAACTTAACGATCTGGTCACAAATGGATGACGATAGGTCCGCAGAGGTGTGAGGTGTGGTCGAAGCAGGCCCTCTGATTGGTCGACGCTTGTTCAGGAGACATTTACAGCTAATGCTTGCTTTTAAGAAGCCATTGCTGGACAAGAATTCTTACATTTTCAAGTCAAGCAGTCGATGAAAGTCCAAGTTCCCGCGAAATTATAAAGAATGGTCAGATCTACAAACGTTGACCCATCAACTTGCTTCGACCACAACCCAACGACTATAAGTAAGGTACCTACGTAATATATACGTGTAACTGGAGTCAGACATTAGACCGTGAAAATCCGGGCTGGAACTGGTCTTCAGCAACCCATGCTTGTCGTAATAGACGACTAACGGGATCTGGTAGTCAGGCTCGCTGACTTGGTTGACACATGCCATCGTATCCGAAGCGCGTAGATCGATTTTTATGCTGTTTATCACTGGATTGTATGGACCAGACTCGATTATTTACAGACTGCCGCCACATAGGTGGAATATTAAGGAAAACCAGCTTGTGTGGATAGTCAACTTCTTTATTGCAAATGAGTGCGACGTTTCGGTGTAGGTACTAATGTCGCTATGAAGCAAGTGACTATCCATAGAACCTTGAATTCCTTCATCTTTACAACTTCTACAATGCCTCTCAAAGAAGAGAATGTTGCTGACTGCAGCGTTAAACGACAAACAAAACAAAAAACAAAACGGACATGCAGACTATTGTCCACAGCAACATTGAAAATCAAATAAGAAAAACAAAAACAAACAAAATAAATTTTATTTAAATTCTAGACACAAACGGTAACGTTGAGTAATTTCCCTGTATTTGGTGAATGTTCCTACAATGATCACGTTAGTTTGCAAAACTAATGAAATTCAGTCTATCATCAAATTTATTCAAAATGACATACCATTAATATATGTCTTGTGAAATGGACATTTCAATAGCGCAGCCACGTTCTGATGATGTTGTACAGAGCTGTCCCGGGACAGTCAGTCCTGCCCATGTCGCGGTGGCCTCTGAGGATGTAGTTGGACTGAATCTTGCCCATGCTGACGCCGCAAGCAATAAGGGCCTTGGCAGTGTTGATAGCCGCACTGTTGGGGGCACGCGTCATGAAGTTACCGATGAAACAGAAACCTGAATAGGTGAAATACAATAGACATGTAAACCCTTGTCCTGTCACTGGTTTATCCTTACCAACACTACATAGCTCCGTTTGTGAACCCTTGTCCTGTCACTGGTTTACTCTTACCAACACTAAATAGCTCCTTTTGTGAACCCTTGTCCTGTCACTGGTTTACCCTTACCAACACTACATAGTCCCGTTTGTGAACCCTTGTCCTGTTACTGGTTTACCCTTACCAACACTACATAGCTCCTTTTGTGAACCCTTGTCCTGTCACTGGTTTACTCTTACCAACAAGACATAAATCCGTTTGTGAACCCTTGTCCTGTCACAGGTTTACTCTTACCAACACGACATAAATCCGTTTGTGAACCCTTGTCCTGTTACTGGTTTACCCTACCAACACTACATAGCTCCGTTTGTGAACCCTTGTCCTGTCACTGGTTTACCCCTACAAACACTACATAGCTCCGTTTGTGAACCCTTGTCCTGTTACTGGTTTACCCCTACCAACACTACATAGCTCCGTTTGTTAACACTTGTCCTGTCACTGGCTTACTCTTACCAACAAGACATAGCTCCTTTTGTGAACCCCTGTCCTGTCACTGGTTTACCCTTACCAACACTACATAGCTCCGTTTGTGAATCCTTGTCCTGTTACTGGTTTACCCCTACCAACACTACATAGCTCCGTTTGTGAACCCTTGTCCTGTCACTGGCTTACCCTTACCAACACTACATAGCTCCGTTTGTGAACCCCTGTCCTGTCACTGGTTTACCCTTACCAACACTACATAGCTCCGTTTGTGAACCCTTGTCCTGTTACTGGTTTACCCCTACCAACACTACATAGCTCCGTTTGTTAACACTTGTCCTGTCACTGGCTTACTCTTACCAACAAGACATAGCTCCTTTTGTGAACCCCTGTCCTGTCACTGGTTTACCCTTACCAACACTACATAGCTCCGTTTGTGAATCCTTGTCCTGTAACTGGCTTACCCCTACCAACACTACATAGCTCCGTTTGTGAACCCTTGTCCTGTCACTGGCCTACCCCTACCAACACTACATAGCTCCGTTTGTGAACCCTTGTCCTGTTACTGGCATACTCTTACCAACACTACATAGCTCCGTTTGTGAACCTTTGTCCTGTTACTGGCTTACCCTACCAACACTACATAGCTCCGTTTGTGAACCCTTGTCCTGTCACTGGCTTACCCCTACCAACACTACATAGCTCCGTTTGTGAACCCTTGTCCTGTTACTGGTTTACCATTACCAACACTACATAGCACCGTTTGTGAACCCTTGTCCTGTTACTGGCTTACCCTTACCAACACAACATAGCTCCGTTTGTGAACCCTTGTCCTGTCACTGGTTTACTCTTACTAACACTACATAGCTCCGTTTGCGAACCCTTGTCCTGGTACTGGTTTACTCTTACCAACGCTACATAGCTCCGTTTGTGAACCCTTGTCCTGTCACTGGCTTACCCTCACCAACACTAGTACTACCATATCTCCGTTTGTGAACCCTTGTCCTGTTACTGGCTTACACCTACCAACACTGCTGTAGCTTTATTTGTGAACCCTTGTCCTGTTACTGGCTTACCCAGGCCAGGGGGCGGTGGGGTAGCCTAGTGGTTAAAGCGTTGGCTCGTCACGCCGAAGGCCCGGGTTCGATTCCCCACATGGGCACAATGTGTTAAGCCCATTTCTGGTGTCCCCCGCCGTGATATTGCTGGAATATTGCTAAAAGCGGCGTAAAACTAAACTCAGTCAGTCAGTCAGTTACCCAGGCCAACACTACATAGCTCCGTTGTTGTAGCCCCGGGTGAGCTAATGTCCTGTTGCTGGCTTTTCCAAACCATATACTCTTGTACCCCGGGTGTGAGTATCTGTCATGTCAATGACCTACATGACAAAGTTGGCGATGGGGTGGCCTAGTGGTGAAAGCGTTTGCTCGTCACGCCGAAGACCCTGGTTCGAATCCCCACATGGGTACAATGTGTGAAGCCCATTTCTGGTGTCCCCCACCGTGTATGCTAAAAGCGGAGTAAAACCAAACTCAGTTAGTCAGTACATGACCAGCGCTGTTTTAGCCCCGGGTGTGAGTCTCTATCCTTTCACTGACTTACCCAGACCAACACTGTTGTACCCCGGGTGTGAGTCTCTATCTTTTCACTGTCTTACCCAGACCAACACTGTTGTACCCCGGGTGTGAGTCTCTGTCCTTTCACTGACTTACCCAGGCCAACACTGTTGTACCCCCGGTGTGAGTCTCTATCCTTTCACTGACTTACCCAGACCAACACTGTTGTAACCATAGGTGTGAGCCCCTGTCCAGTCACTGACTTACCCAGACCAATACTGTTGTAACCATAGGTGTGAGCCCCTGTCCAGTCACTGACTTACCCAGACCAATACTGTTGTAGCCCCGGGTTTGAGCCCCTGTCCAGTCACTGACTTACACAGACCAACACTGTTGTAGCCCCGGGTGTGAGCCCCTGTCCAGTCACTGACTTACCCAGACCAACACTGTTGTAGTCCAGGGTGTGAGCCCCTGTCCAATCATTGACTTACCCAGACCAACACTGTTGTAGCCCCGGGTTTGAGCCCCTGTCCAGTCACTGACTTACCCAGACCAACACTGTTGTAGCCCAGGGTGAGCTCATGTCCTGTCACTGACTTACCGAGACCAACACTGTTGTAGGCCAGGGTGTGAGCCCCTGTCCAGTCACTGACTTACCCAGACCAACACTGTTGTAGCCCCGGGTGTGAGCCCCTGTCCAGTCACTAACTTTCCCAGACAAAACACTGTTGTAGCCTGGGTGTGAGCCCCTGTCCTGTCACTGATTTACCCAGACCAACACTGTTGTAGCCGCGGGTGTGAGCCCCTGTCCAGTCACTGATTTACCAAGACCAACACTGTTGTAGCCCCGGTATGAGCCCATGTCCAGTCACTGACTTACTCAGACCAACACTGTTGTAGCCCCGGGTGTGAGCCCCTGTCCAGTCACTGACTTACCCAGACCAACACTGTTGTAGCCCCGGGTGTGAGCCCCTGTCCAATCTTTACTTACCCAGACCAACACTGTTGTAGGCCAGGGTGTGAGCCCCTGTCCAGTCACTGACTTACACAGACCAACACTGTTGTAGCCCCGGGTGTGAGCCCCTGTCCAGTCACTAACTTACCCAGACCAACACTGTTGTAGCCCCGGGTTTGAGCCCCTGTCCAGTCACTAACTTACCCAGACCAACACTGTTGTAGCCCCGGGTGTGAGCCCCTGTCCTGTCCCAGCCACGAGCCTCGTAGACATTGCCGTCCTCGCCTATGAGGAAGCTGTAGCCGATGTCGCTCCAGCCTGAAGGGTAACCACAGATGCAATCTGAACATGAACATCCAAGCAATTCATCATTGACAACATACATGTACAGACATTTTCAGCAATTTACGATCATCAAAAATGTTTGGTTATCTCAGAACAAATGGAATCACGTGTCAAGTATTTGTTTCTGTGTAATGATATACTTATGACTTGTTTATTAGCTTTAAATAGGACAAAAACAGCAAATTTGTTAAGAGGTTTGTTTTCCACCTTCAGGCTCGCGTGTTATAAATATATTTGCACTGTAAAGCCCGAGAAAACATAATGTCTCGACACTTGTCACACACTCACTCACTCAGGTTGTCTCACTCACTCAGGTTCAGTCAATCAGGTTGAATCACTCACTCAGGTTTACTCACTTACTCGGTTGACTCACTCGCTCGTTCAGGTTGACTCACTTACTCACGCAGGTTCACTCACTCAGGTTTGACTCACTTACTCAGATTGACTCACTCGCCCACTCAGGTTGACTTACTCACTCAGGGTCTCACTCACTCACCGTGTGTGTCCATATGGTAATTCTGATAGCTCCTGACAATGGCGGAGCAAGAGCTCTGACTGGAACAGGCTCCATTGCCTCCATGATGGATGAAGGCGTATTCCACAGGCCCGTCAAGATTGCTAGTAGACCGTGGGGATCTAGCGCCCCACTCGGACCTGCTGATGATGTGGGGACAGACAGCGCTGGGGCTACCTATAAAGAGTAACACTTCTGTCCAGGTAACATCTGTACGACAAGAGAGGAGCCAGCCATCGCTCCCCTTTATGTCGAGAAACATTCCAGTCGACCCTATTTTCGTGTGTATGTTTCAAAATGTTTAATGTGCAACCGATCAAGCTTTTTTGTACAATTGTAAGATAAACAGATGACTCTTGTAAAACAATTGTTTGATCAGGGTGATATTTCTTTATGTCTGCGATACTATTTTCATGGATTTCATAAATTCCTTTAAGATGAGCTTCGAAAGAAGTTATGATTTAACATTAATAACCAACACAGATGAAGGATACATTGTGGGAAGCTAGATGACTGAAGTTGCTTTTTTACCCGATGTGCCGGAGCTACCCGAACAAGTCCGAATGTTCACGTAGCGTCCCGAAATCCACCCGTTCTGCAATGGGTATCACAATGTCATTAAATCCTTTAAAAAATTGTATAAAAGATATTGTAACACAGATATTCGGGGAAAAGCGTGAAAAATAATTACTTCTGGATTTAAAGGTAACTAGTAAGCATAAGCATATGACAACCGCTCCATCATCATTTAGGGGTTTAACGTCCACCTCTGGTGACCAATTGACAAAGATCCTGTAGAAACTAAACGGCAAATCTATGATACATTGAGTGTAAAAGTATTTTGGAAGATTTAGACAATCTGGAGAAAGTGAGAAAGTTGGAATTCTACGCCTTTTTAAACAGTTCGCTCAGTTGACTGTATGAGATTAAAGGCCTTTGACGTTTAACCTTTTTGCGTTGGGCTTCAAATGAAATTTAGAGACTATCAATTCGGTCTAACATTCATTTAATTTCAAAACACAGTACGTTTATCTCCTAAATAATACGATTGACAGTGAGAGAATTAAATACACGCACGTGCGTTTGTTTGCATAACAGCTCTAACGGCATAACATTTAAAGGAAATATTGTTAGGAAATCGCTACGAATTTCAAAACAATAATGTTATATCTATATGCAATTTGTCAACTTTAATGTTTAACATTTGACTTATATTTCACATCTCTGGGGGGATATTTTAGTCTGACGTTTTGGGGGTCATTCATACATTTTTCAACATAATAATTATTCATTATTAAATTCAACCAGGGGTTTGACTGACTGAGTTTGGTTTTACGCCGTTTTTAGCAATATTCCAGCAACATCACGGCGGGGGACACCAGAAATGAGCTTCACACATTGTACCCATGTGGGGATTCGAACCCGCATGTAACAATGAATTAAAACGTAATTCATTTTACAAAAGGTTTTGCTCTGTTTATGAGTCCTATGGTGTTTATGTTTTGAAACATCACAACAAAACGCACCATTCGTAAAATACCCGTATTTAACAGCATGATTTTCAGTTTCGGCTTTAAGTGTCACAGAATACACAATTCACATGCAATGCACGTGAAAGTTGGGCGTCAGATAGTCTCAATGATGGGTATAAAAGGTTGATCGCTGTCTGTCGACTATTCACTGTATTTGGAATATCGTTGCCACGTCTAAGTGAAGCCAACCGTCATATCGCCATTGGGGGAGGGCTTATTCGTTCGATGCCGAGGCGATGCCGAGGCGATGCCGAGGCGATGCCGTGCAGTTCTGGATGCCCACGGTGGTCACATGAGGTATTGACTTCAGCGCCACCACACGTCTCCATGTGACACTCAAACTGACTTTCATCGAGTTGGTGCCAAAGACGGATAAATCTGCATTCCCAGTGTGCAATTTCGCTATATTTCATTGACTCATAAATCCTACAAGATGTTTCAAAATAAACATAAAAATACAGTTGAAATGCCTATATGCGTTTCTTTTTTGGAAGAATATATTATATATATATATAAACAGCGTTCGATTATGTGTTTAATATGTTTTCACCTTCTTGTATTTGTATCACAACAGCAATACGATATACGAGTGGATTGGTGATATTAGTTCCATTAGAATCAAACAGGAATAGAGTTATCGTTCTTGTTTAAAGTAGTTCATGCGCCAATATGAAATCGTTCCAGAGGGGCACTAGTCGCTATTCGGCTTGTCCCGGAATAACACGAATGACAGTCACTTCACTCACAAATACCTCATGCTAAAGACATTTAAGTTCATAATGAAATACCTACCCTGCCGTTGAAGTTGACACGAACCCAGCCATACCTCCAGCCGCCTTCAAAGAGAGTGCAGCACCCGACTCTCAAGACGCCAAGTATCGAATGCCTCGTTCCGACACCGACATCGGAGCGAACATAAACATCTCCGGTAGCGCATGCGCACTGTGCAGCTCTCACATCACTTACAGCTGTTGCCAAGAAGGCAACGAAGACAAAACTAAGTGCCATATGTATTCTGGAAACCACTCTGCAACAGAAATAGCCAGTGAGCACTGTGCGATGCACACATGATAACCTTTGGCCTGAGCGATCGTGATGCCCAAGCTTTAAAGGGAATTCTTTTTGAGATGACATGTGCGCCCTTTTACACAATAAATGTATGCATATCTACTGTCAGGTGATGTTTTCCAAACAACTATTTGTTTCAACCACTGATCCACTCATTGTGGCACAACATCATTGCAAGTATTTCTGTCTAACTGACCAATACTCAGTTCATAATAGGTTTCCCCTGCAAGACGTTATCGCCCACACCTATAATTCCACGTTGGCCCCTTGTCTACCATGTAGTCATATCCATACAAACTCAGGTCGTCTCGGTTCTCAGATCGCTGTTTACCAAGTTAAAACATTGATTACACAACAGTCTCGTTTCCTGCGGACTGGGTTCCGTTCTATTGCGCAACTTAGTACAATGACCAGTACAGAATTTTGAGACCAACTCCTTCAACTGGATACGTAAATATTTATCAGTATTATTTGATACATCTAATCACTTGTATATTGCAACATTACGCTCCTTCTACTTGCAAATATGTCGTGCAGCGTGCTCTGTCGGACAGACAAACGGAAATCATGGAAAACTCAAAACGAGACTCTGCCGCTAGAAAGGTTTGGCGGTCTGGTACGGATTTGATATTATATTAATCACATTGTACGTTACACAAATGCACCGAATGAGCGCAAAACACACATAACAGATGTAACCAGTGAGCCAGATGAATTGTGAATCATTTTACGACCTCTTCAAACGGGGCAGTCTGTAACGGCTTAGTTAAAGACATGCTGCCTAAACCTCGACATAGAATATAGAAATACGATCTATCTAAACTTTGAAATTAAAATTAATTTATAAATATCATTTTCTTATGAAACAAGGAATTGGAATTCAGTGTAACCACAGATGTTTGTCGTGTCTCTTTTCACTCTCACACGAGAAAATTAGGATCGGCTGAAAAGTAGGTCATTGTCTGAATTGGTTAATGAGACTCATGTTTCGGTTTGCTTGTCTTCTTCAGCACACGAAGCTTGTTGCAGACGCCGCGGGTCAGACCTGCTGATTTGGTTGATGCATGTCACCGTTAATCAGTTGCTTGTGTAGATCGCTGCTCATCTACAGAACAACGCTACAGATATTAAATATACCATGACTATAAACATGAAATAGTTCCTATGAAAAGAAAGATCTGGGATCTGGATGGTGGCACTCGAATTATGTACTCTGAGAGAGTGAATGTGAACCTAAGTGTGTGAGTGAGTGAGACACTTGTTCAGCCACAGTGTGACAAGAGTCGAACAACGGTACACATCCATGTGGACCTCTATCTATTTTCTTGAGCTTTACTTTGCAAATACTACACGAGAGTGTGATTCGTTTTATGATTCGTTGAAAGCTAATAAACAAACCATTGGTATATCACTATGTTCCATCAAAATCACGTTGGGTGACACCAGAAATGGGCTTCAAACATTACACCCACGTATGGTCTGAATAATCAGACTTATACCTTAGGTATAAATGCATGTTATGGAATATATTCAATTGAAAGGAAAGAGCTGGGGCTGTGAGCACTGTGCACTGAGCGCCGTTGCACTTGCATTGACAATGTCCATACAAACAATCGTGTTATGCAGCAAGATTTATGATATAAATAAATCACTCAGAGAAATGTTCTGTTTTCTTAATTCACAAAATTTGGGTCTTTGAATTATGTCTTACTTGATTAAATTCCATATGCATTGACATGATACCACAAAGCTTGGTTCAACTGATAATTAAAAAATCAAATGCCAATTTCTACCTTCGGCTATTATTACACCATGGTGTAAGACACAAGCAAAAATGTCAAAGAACTTCATGAAATGATCTGACATATTCACGATGAGAACGGTTATTTTTTTCCCTCATTGTTAAACGTGTGGTAGCCTTGTATAAGCCTTTCTCTCGTCACGCAGAAGAACCGGGTTGACTCCAGACGTGGCTGTACATAGTATGAGGCCCACGATATCCACTCTTGGTACTGCTGCAACCTTGCTAAAAGCGGCACAAAACAATACTCACTCATGTCCCTATATATGTTCGTCCAAGTGTATATCTAATGTGTCAATGAGCACAAAAAGAATATAAAATAAATCACAAATTGTGCTGCATATGAAATGATACTGAGTAGCTATTGTCCTTATGTCTATACTTACTGCACATGTACATTTATGGCATCTCACTATCAAGCTTGAAGCTTGCTTTGACTCAGTTTCCAGCGCTTGTTTATATGTGTATGCGAGTAGGCGAGTGACCAACTCGAAATATGCATCCAAAGTCGAAAATAGCCCCACTGGACACTGGGCACCCAATTGCGCAGATCGATGCTCATGTTGTTGATCACTGGATTGTGTGGTCCAGACTCGAATATTTACAGACCGCCGCCATATAGATGGACTATTGTTGAGTGCGATGTAAAACTAACCTCACTCACTCACTCACCTACTGGGCACCGTAGGTCCAATAGATGTATATAATATCATGATATAAACAATATTCATCAATACAACCTACCTGCTCTGACATGCAATACAGCTGAGTAAACAATGGACCCTGTTTTCGCTGTGAGGGAAGCCTATTACACTTACCACTTGTCGAGTATTTATATGTACGATCATGACTTGAATACTGATGGTTTACGTGACCCATTACCTCAGAAAATTATGGGCCATGTGACAAACATTTAGGTCAAGGTCATGTTTTTCTCATGACTGAAGGGCGTTACTTGTTTTTGTTGTTTAGATGTTCCGTGTTTCGGGCCTATTGGCAATTTGAGGCAAAGGCGTGACTACCAAATGTGGATGTTGATAACCACTGGGTCTCCTTTCACTAGATGGCATGCATATTTCGTTGAATCACATACAGGTGTCATTGACACCTGTGTCGTGGTAATTCTGTATTTGTTTGTTTGGGTTGTTTTCATGTTGTTAAATGTCGCACTCAGCAATATTCCAGCTATATGGTGGTGGTCTGTAAATAATCAAGTCTAGAACAGACAATCCGGTGATCAACACAATGAGCATCAATCTACGTAATGGGATGCGGTAACATGTGTCAACCAGCCTGACGACCCGATCCCGTTAGTCGCCTCTGATGACGATCATGGGTGCCTAAAGACCAATTCTGACCCATACCTTCAAGTGTGCATGAGCAACGATCCTCGCAACTACGCAACATGAATCAAGGAAATCAATCATTAGCTTCTTACGCTCAAGCATGTCCCAACGTCATCTTCCATGCCAAGTCTACGAGCATCCACCACAATGTGATAGCTGATGCTGTTTCGAGACTTCAATGGCAAAGATGTCTGGAGATGGCACCAATGGCAGACAACAAGGCTACGCTACCAATGGCAGACAACGAGGCCACGCAACCAATGGTAGACAACAAGGCCACGCAACCAATGGTAGACAACAAGGCCACGCTACCAATGGCAGACAACAAGGCCACGCTACCAATGGCAGACAACAAGGCCACGCTACCAATGGCAGACAACAAGGCCACGCTACCAATGGCAGACAACAAGGCCACGCTACCAATGGCAGACAACAAGGCCACGCTACCAATGGCAGACAACAAGGCCACGCTACCAATGGCAGACAACAAGGCCACGCTACCAATGACAGACAACAAGGCCACGCTACCAATGACAGACAACAAGGCCACGCTACCAATGGACAGTATGCGAAATAGTTTTCCTGAAAGTCCACAAAATAATTACCTAGCCCAACACGTGAATGTAGAAACTAAGCGAAAGGTTACAAAAAGTTAATATGCCATCCTCTATCAGGCCATAATCTTGCATGATTTAAAAGTGCATTATAACTTTATAAGTCGGAGAGAGTGATATATTAAAAATATGATCCCATGAAAATTCACTAGCCAGTCGGGCCAGTGACTTGGAGATCAACTGGCCCGACTGGATTTTACTAGCCACGGGTTAGCGGGCCAGTGGCTATTTCTCACACTGCCAATGGATATTTGGACAATTTAACCACCAGTCAGATAAGTTAGTCAATCTTTCCTTGTCCAGAAATACAGGACGCTCTACAAAGCATGCAGTTTTTCAACATGTTCAGGGTGAGTGGTCATTTGTGTCCCGTGGGGCGCATCACTTTGGGCCATCTCACATGTGAAGATCAGCTTTTTTACTTATAGGTAGGTAACCACGTACTATTCGACCTTACATTTCAGTAGTATCGACAAGTAGAACAATTTTTTTAAAATTCACTAACTGTTTTCTTAAAAAAAAAACTCTCTCTGGAATGTCGAAGTCGTAGCGAACACCAGACTTTGGGAGAGTTATCACACAACAACTTTAAATTTTGAAGGAGGTTCTTGGGCAATGAGATCACATCTACTACTCGTCAAACAAGACAAAACTGTTCAGGGGTGTTTTACTGTCGCATTCTTTGGAGTCTCGCGGATGAGTAAAATATTTCACATTCTGCGCAGCTTGACAGCGATCGAGCTTAAAAACTGACATGATTTTGTCCATATGTGATACAGGGCGGCAAGCTGTTATTCCCCTGCGGTATTCAATCGGTCAGGAAAAGGTACATATATACATGTAGGTGGTATCTATCGTCCATACCCCATCAACCAATGTGTCCAGTAAATGCAGTGTCTTGCTACAAGTTGGTTAAACCTACTGTATAGCCAGCAGCTGTTGATTCAACAAACGACGGAGGTCAATGGCCCACTTTTTGCAAATATGGAAACATCATAGAACAAAGCAGATGATGACATTCGACCTTGGCCTTTGCCCACACTACCAGCCGCCATTGTTTTCGCTGCTCCTTACTAGTGTACCATAAATTACAACATGCAGCAATGAAAACATCGACTTAAACGCTTACGTTGTTGAGCATTGAAAAAAATGGCGGCTGGTAGTATGGGCAAAGGCCAAGGTCGAATGTCGTCACGTTCAATTGTGACGTCATCTGTTGTGTTCTATGACGTTTCCATGTTTGTAAAAAGAGGGTCAGTGACCTCTGCACACTCCGGCACAGCGATGACTAACATAACATCACTGCCACAGGCTAATTTGCATATCACGTGACCGGACTTTTCTCTTGTTTGTAATCAAACGCGCATATTCATAATAAGAAGAGACTGGACTCACGAAAGCTTTTCGGCGCTCTCTTCATAACGTTTTACATTGTTCTATATATATTCTTCCACAACTGCGACAGTAAAGTCTATGACAGTACATATTTAGATATCAAACTGGCTGCATCGTTTGCTCTCCATCAGCTTCGATGACAGCACGTGGAGCCGTACAACCTATGTAAACAAAGGATCACTACGCAAATCGAAATAGTGTTACATGTTTTTGGATATTTTCTCAGTGAAACTAAACAATTCTATTAAAGATGATTAGTTAGATGTGTACACTCGTCAAAAATAAAAGAGTAAAAGAAATCTGTACATTATATTGAATGGACATTGCAAGCTGTGACGAATCGTTACATTTTTCTGGCCTGTGGCAGAGATACTATGCTGGCTTTTGACAGACGTGACCCCACATACGTGACTCTTATTTTGACTCCTCTTTTGACAGACAGACGTGACCTCACATGACAGACGTGTGACTCCTCTTTTGACAGACGTGACCTCACATACGTGACTCCTCTTTTGACAGACGTGACCCCACATACGTGCCTCCTCTTTTGAAAGACGCTACTCCTGTTTTGACAGACATGACCCCACATACATGACTTCTCTTCTGGCAGACGTGACCCCACATACGTGACTCCTCTTTTGACAGACGTACCCCACATACGTGACTCATTTTTGACAGACGTGACCCCACATACGTGACTCCACTTTTAGTAGACATGACTCCTGTTGTGACAAACTTTAGATATCAGAAGATACAATAACCCCGTTTGTGACGAACATGCGTGTAACGAACTGACGGATATATAACGTTTATTTGTCCCGACCACTCGGCGTGTGTTGAAATATTTCTGTTTCTGCACACAAAGGGAACACGTATGAGCGTATCTATCGGGGTGTAGGTGATCAAATCCAATGACTTATACCATACGTTCCCGAATTATTTCAGGTAAACAATTGACTAGACTTAGCATGTGTTTATGACGGATGACACCGGTGGGGCAGGATCCGCTCACCTGGTATCATCCCTACATCATAGTGATTCATAAACACATGCTCTGTCATCGTATCACATGGTGACAATCACTGGATTGTCTGGGTCAGACCCGTTTTGTTTACAAACAACATCATAAGCTGTAATAGTGCTGAAGCAAAATTAATAATGCTTATAGTCACCAGTGTACAATCGACTCTGCCAGAGATTTCTTATGAATGTGGAACGGATTTTGTCGGTTCTATTCTAATGGTTGGTGGGATACATAGACACACGCGTTTGCTCATTGGTCATTCTCCTCATTGATCATTGATCATTGGTCAACTCTACTGCCACTCATTCGTTAAATATTGGATTGCAGGTTTAAGGTCGGTAAATAATAATATAATAATAATTCATTTATATAGCGCCTAGTATCCATCTGACTAAACAGCTCCATGGTCGCTGTAATCAGAATCTGAATTATTACCCCCGATAACCCAAGCTGCCGGTTTGGCGCTAGAAGGCCACATGACTCACATGATTTTATTTTGAACAAATTCACTTGCCTAAGGTGAGACCACATGTATCACATGTACTTCGTTGTGGGGTAGGATTGAAGTCCTAGAAACTCTCAGGAGTCACAGGACCATACACCGCCACAAATATAATTAAAGCCGGACACTGATTTTAAAGTGCGTTATTAGCTGCAGAATATTTCTGTAGATTTATCTCTTGTGACAGAGCAGCTAACAATATACAATTTATAATTATATAGCTAACAATATACAATTCTCTTACAAACCCGCCAGCCCAGGTATAAAACAAACACATTGTGGGTTCCCCTGTGGCACCCCCGCCATTTACTCACCAACATTTACATATTCTGTAACGTCACTCGTATCGAAAGGTCAGCTCTCATTGTTCGGAACAATTCAACAAACCATCTTACAATTAGATCCACTCATGCTGGCGTTTCAGAAGCGTACTTACCACTATGACACCATTCCGTCTTGAAGCAAGACTGCCACTTTAAGACCGCCACAGAAAAAACACCACATCAAGACCGCCACATCAAGACTACCTCGGCAATACTGCCACACCAATACCGCCACAGCAAGACCATCACAGCGAGATTGTCACAGCAAGACAACCACAGCAAGACCACCACAGCAAGACTGCCACATCAAGACTGCCATGGCAATACTGACACAGCAATCGTGCCACATTAAGACTGCCACAGCAAGACCGCCACATCAAGACTGCCATGGCAATACTGACACAGCAATCGTGCCACATTAAGACTGCCACAGCAAGACCACCACAGCAAGACTGCCACATCAAGACCACCACAGCAAGACTGCCACAGCAAGACCGCCACATCAAGACCGCCACGGCAATACTGCCCCAGCAAGACTGCCACAGCAAGACCACCACATCAAGACCGCCACATCAAGACCGCCACGGCAATACTGCCCAAGCAAGACTGCCACATCAAGACTGCTACGGCAATACTGCCACATCAATACTGCCACATGAAGATTGCCACATCAGGACTGCCACAGCAATGCTGCCACAGCAAGACCGCCACATCAAGACCGCCACATCAAGACCGCCACAGCAAGACCGCCACAGCAAGACTGCAATAGCAATACTGCCACAGCAAGACCGCCACAGCAAGATCGCCACAGCAAGACTGCCAAGGCAATACTGCCACACCAATACCGCCACAGCAAGACCATCACAGCGAGATTGTCACAGCAAGACAACCACAGCAAGACCACCACAGCAAGACTGCCACATCAAGACCACCACAGCAAGACTGCCACAGCAAGACCGCCACATCAAGACCGCCACGGCAATACTGCCCCAGCAAGACTGCCACATCAAGACTGCCACAGCAAGACCACCACATCAAGACCGCCACATCAAGACCGCCACGGCAATACTGCCCAAGCAAGACTGCCACATCAAGACTGCTACGGCAATACTGCCACATCAATACTGCCACATGAAGATTGCCACATCAGGACTGCCACAGCAATGCTGCCACAGCAAGACCGCCACATCAAGACCGCCACAGCAAGACCGCCACAGCAAGACTGCAATAGCAATACTGCCACAGCAAGACCGCCACAGCAAGACCGCAACATCAAGACAGCCACGGCAATACCGCCACAGCAAGACCGCCACAGCAAGACTGCCAAGGCAATACTGCCACAGCAAGACCGCCACATCAAGACAGCCATAGCAAGGCCGCCACATCAAGACTGCCACATCAAGATTGCCACAGCAAGACTGCCACATCAATACTGCCACATCAAGACGGCCACATGAAGACTGCCACATAAAAGATAGCCACAGCAAGACTGCTACATGAAGATTGCCACATCAAGATTGCCACAGCAAGACTGCCACATCAATACTGCCACATCTGGCAACAGAAAATGATCAAGATTGTAATACCCAAAACACAATGCATACTGATATTAAAAAGCAAGAAATCCAGTCCAAGCTGTTCCGGCGAGACCACAGGAGAGATTGAACAACCCGACTCACCCGAATGAAATTCCATTAACAAGTAAACACCTTTGTTGGAGTTTCTAGAAACTCATAACAGCCTTCTACAGTCTTGTAATTTTGTAAATTGACATTGGATTGCCATGTGGTGTTTCTGGAAGTTGAACTTTCAGATATTATGAAGATATTTATCACCACGTGTGATTGTATGCGTCCACTCACTAAGATCAACATGTTGCCATCACACAAAGCATTCTTTGTTTGCAGGTGTGTTCAGTTTGCTTATCATATCGTCACTGAACACACTTGTTCAATCAGGCATGTTGTTTTACTGTGTATTTCGGAAAGTTGATAATCTCTAGAGTAATGTACTTAATGAAGTAGTTCCAGGCCTCGTTCACATTGTTCACTGAACAACTGTCATCGCCATATATTCTTTGTAATGGATAAAATGATTCACGAAATTTTCTGATATTTTTAAAGGTTGATTATCTCGTATCTACCAAGGTAGACTAAGGTCGCTATAACCCTTTACCACCTGATGGACACCTGGTGAACACCTGATGACACTAAGCGTTGCTGAAACAATTCTGAAAGCGAAGCCAGTCATGCGTGAACCAATCATTCAAATGAGGAAAACATGTATAAAAAGATATTCTCAAGTCAACTGTGAACACGACGACCAATGAGTGATGCAGATCAAACGAAACAACGGCGATGTTGAAGTGCTTTGCAGTTTGGAGACATTATTTTTCGAGGAGATGTAAGCACGCACAACGCTAAGAGACAATTTACGTTGAAGTTTGAAAGAATTTCGAAACATGCCTGATGGTGTAACATGTATTCTCTATGTTCTGATCATGTTGGACTGTATGTTAATAAGTACCCAGGGAAGTAGCATATGTGTGGATGAGGTGTTTTACCTTGTATTCAGTGACAAAGCCGCCACAGATTACGTTGTAAGGAACACGACGGTTCCCAGTCGGGCAGAATGTTCTGTTCTGTGTCATCAAGAGGAAGGGTGTGTGTCTGTGGCATATTCAGACTCAGGAGAGTGTGTCCTCCACAGTGAGCTACCACAGACACTGGCAGTGGTCAGTACACAGGACACTGACATCTACTACCGCCAAGGTAAGATATACCTGAAACTGACATCTATTACCACCAAGGTAAGATATACCTGACACTGACATCTACAGCCACCAAGGTGAGATATATCTGACACAGACATCTACTACCACCAAGGTAAAATATACCTGACACTGACATCTACAGCCACCAAGGTCAGATATACCTGACAAAGACATCTACTACCACCAAGGTAAGATATACCTGACACAGACATCTACTACCACCAAGGTGAGATATATCTGACACAGACATCTACTACCACCAAGGTAAGATATACCTGACACTGACATCTACAGCCACCAAGGTCAGATATACCTGACAAAGACATCTACTACCGCCAAGGTAAGATATACCTGACACTGACATCTACTACCACCAAGGTCAGATATATCTGACACAGACATCTACTACCACCAAGGTAAGATATACCTGACACTGACATCTACAGCCACCAAGGTAAGATATACCTGACGCTGACATCTACTACAACCAAGGTAAGATATACCTGACACTGACATCTACTACCACCAAGGTCAGATATACCTGACGCTGACATCTACTACCACCAAGGTAAGATATACCTGACACTGACATCTACAGCCACCAAGGTAAGATATACCTGACACTGACATCTACAGCCACCAAGGTAAGATAACCTGACATTGACACTGACATCTGCTACTATCAAGGTAAGATATACCTGACACTGACATCTACTACCGCCAAGGTAAGATATACCTGACAGAGACATCTACTACCACCAAGGTAAGACACACCTTGCACTGACATCTGCTACTACCAAGATAAAATATACCTGACACTGACATCTACTACCACCAAGGTAAGATATACCTGACACTGACATCTACAGCCACCAAGGTAAGATAACCTGACATTGACACTGACATCTACAGCCACCAAGGTAAGATATACCTGATACTGACATCTACTACCACCAAGGTAAGATATACCTGACACTGACATCTACTACCGCCAAGGTGAGATATACCTGACAGAGACATCTACTACAACCAAGGTAAGACACACCTTGCACTGACATCTGCTACTACCAAGATAAAATATACCTGACACTGACATCTACTACCACCAAGGTAAGATATACCTGACACTGACATCTACTACCACCAAGGTAAGATATACCTGACAGAGACATCTACTACCACCAAGGTAAGACACACCTTGCACTGACATCTGCTACTACCAAGATAAAATATACCTGACACTGACATCTACTACCACCAAGGTAAGATATACCTGACACTGACATCTACAGCCACCAAGGTAAGATAACCTGACATTGACACTGACATCTACAGCCACCAAGGTAAGATATACCTGATACTGACATCTACTACCACCAAGGTGAGATATACCTGACAGAGACATCTACTACAACCAAGGTAAGACACACCTTGCACTGACATCTGCTACTACCAAGATAAAATATACCTGACACTGACATCTACTACCACCAAGGTAAGATATACCTGACACTGACATCTACTACCATCAAGGTAAGAGATACCTGACACTGACATCTACTACCACCAAGGTAAGACACACCTTGCACTGGCATCTGCTACTACCAAGATAAAATATACCTGACACTGACATCTACTACCACCAAGGTAAGACATACCGGACACTGACATCTACTACCACCAAAGTAAGACATACTTGACACTGACATCTACTACCATCAAAGTAAAACATACCTACCTGACACTGACATCTACTACCACCAAGGTAAGACATACCTGACACTGACATCTACTACCATCAAGGGATATAAAACATATCTGACACAGACATCTACTACCACCAAGGTAAGACATACCGGACACTGACATCTACTACCATCAAAGTAAGACATACCTAACACTGACATCTACTACCATCAAGGTAAGATATACCTGACACTGACATCTACTACCACCAAGGTAAGATATACCTGACACTGACATCTACAGCCACCAAGGTAAGATAACCTGACATTGACACTGACATCTACAGCCACCAAGGTAAGATATACCTGATACTGACATCTACTACCACCAAGGTAAGATATACCTAACACTGACATCTACTACCGCCAAGGTGAGATATACCTGACAGAGACATCTACTACAACCAAGGTAAGACACACCTTGCACTGACATCTACTACCACCAAGATAAGATATACCTGACACTGACATCTACTACCACCAAGGTAAGATATACCTGACACTGACATCTACTACCGCTAAGGTGATATACCTGACAGAGACATCTACTACCACCAAGGTAAGATATTGCACCTGACACCAAGATAAAATATACCTGACATCTACTACCACCAAGGTAAGACACACCTTGCACTGACATCTGCTACTACCAAGATAAATATATACCTGACACTGACATCTACTACCACCAAGGTAAGATATACCTGACACTGACATCTACAGCCACCAAGGTAAGATAACCTGACATTGACACTGACATCTACAGCCACCAAGGTAAGATATACCTGATACTGACATCTACTACCACCAAGGTGAGATATACCTGACAGAGACATCTACTACAACCAAGGTAAGACACACCTTGCACTGACATCTGCTACTACCAAGATAAAATATACCTGACACTGACATCTACTACCACCAAGGTAAGATATACCTGACACTGACATCTACTACCATCAAGGTAAGAGATACCTGACACTGACATCTACTACCACCAAGGTAAGACACACCTTGCACTGGCATCTGCTACTACCAAGATAAAATATACCTGACACTGACATCTACTACCACCAAGGTAAGACATACCGGACACTGACATCTACTACCACCAAAGTAAGACATACTTGACACTGACATCTACTACCATCAAAGTAAAACATACCTAACACTGACATCTACTACGATCAAGGTAAAACATATCTGACACAGACATCTACTACCACCAAGGTAAGACATACCTGACACTGACATCTACTACCATCAAAGTAAGACATACCTAACACTGACATCTACTACCATCAAGGTAAGATATACCTGACACTGACATCTACTACCACCAAGGTAAGATATACCTGACACTGACATCTACTACCATCAAGGTAAGATATACCTGACACTGACATCTACTACCACCAAGGTAAGATATACCTGACACTGACATCTACTACCACCAAGGTAAGATATACCTGACACTGACATCTACTACCACCAAGGTAAGATATACCTGACACTGACATCTACTACCATCTAGGTAAGATATACCTGACACTGACATCTACTACCACCAAGGTAAGATATACCTGACACTGACATCTACTACCATCAAAGTAAGACATACCTAACACTGACGACATCTACTACCACCAAGGTAAGACATACCTGATACTGACATCTACTACAACCAAGGTAAGATATACCTAACACTGACATCTGCAACCACCAGTATAACAATCAGTCCATTCCAACTACAATAGCGAAATATTGATCGTAAAGTTTCGGAAAACAGGTGCGGTTCCCATTTCAACAACTACCCTAACAACATCGGCATCAACTTCAACAACAACAACACC